TTGTACAAGCTTCTGTCCTTGCTCTCCCACTGCATCCACGCCTTTGGCCCAGACCGCTAGTGTCTTGTGGCTTCAGAGCTTTCCAAGCTGCATGAAGAGGTTCGGTAATTTTAGGAAAATGTGTAGGTTTTTTACGTCTGGAAATCGTGCTCCATGATTCTCATTCATTTTCCCCATCCACATAATGTGAACAAAAGACTCAGAAGCAAGATTGCTGATAAGGAAAAGCTCATTGATACAAAAGATCATATGTTGCAAGATATGAAAACAAAACTAAAGCAAAGTCACAACCAGCTAATGGTATTGTTCTTGCATTTTTCTCAGCCTTTTTCTTATATACGACTCCAATCTCACTCGAGTTTCTGTCTTGCTGCAGGCTTTCAAAGGAACAATTTGTGTTGTATGCAGGGTTCGTACTTGAATGAGAAGGAAAATAAAAGTGCCGAAATGACTGTCAACATTCCCGAGAACAACAAGATAGTTGTCACAGGTTTGAAGAGACTTTTAACTATGTAACAAGCGCAACGTACGGGTTCAAGGTAAGTAAATAGCATGTGGTTTTACATAGCGTATGTTTTATGCAACCAGCACTACCCTTACCCGGCGTTCTCTGTGCCTTTCCAGGTGTGCATTTTTTTTTACAAGGACAAACTATATCCGGAAATACCTTTAGAATGCTTGAACATTCAGCTGAAGAGTCGCTTTGTGGAGTCATCCCAAGATCTTTTGAGCATATCTTCATGCTTTGTGGAGAAAATTCTGGTTTGCCGTGGGAATACATGATCGAGGTGAGGTGTGCAACCCCTGACTATTATGAATTTGTACATTGTTCACATACTGAAATAATATTTATGTAACCAGGTTCCTGTCATAACATTATAGCTTATACATTTGTGTAGGTTGTAGTGGGGTAGCCCATAAGGGGTACAACCCAATTAGGGTTAGTATTTGTACCCAACTGTTTGCTAGTTCATTCATTCTCGTTCACAACATTCTAACATGGTTTAAGAGCAGGTCCCCTAGGACCGGTCTGTTTTGGGCCCACCACCTACTGCCCTGCTAGCCTAGGCCCGCGCCCGTTGCCCCTAGGCCCCGGCCCGTCGCCCCTAGCTCGGCCCCTCGGCCCCGTTGGCCCCGTCGACCCCGGCGCCCCTAGCTCGGCCCCTCGGCCCCGATGGCCCTGTCGACCCCGTCGCCCCTAGCCGCGCCCGTCGACCCCTAGGCCCCTAGCCGCGCCCCTCGGCCACGTTGGCCCCGTCGACCCCGTCGCCCCTAGCTCGGCCCCACGGCCCCGTTGGCCCCGTCGACCCCGTCGACCCTAGGCACGCCCCTCGGCCCCGTTGGCCCCGTCGACCCCGTCGGCCCTAGCCGCGTCCGTCGACCCCTAGGCCCCTAGCCACGCCCCTCGGCCCCGTTGGCCCCGTCGACCCTAGCTCGGCCCCTCGGCCCCGTCGCCTCGGCCCCTTGGAAGCCGACGTTGCCGATCACCAACATCAAGGGATTGTGTTTCATCTTGGGGCGTGATTTTCTGAAGCGTTTCAACCCCGAGATAGTCTGGGTCAACCGGAGGGCATACATCTACAACAACAGGAAACAGGTGGAGCTGCGAAGCTGGACATATAAAGGGGATATTCCGGAGACGACACTAGCATAGTTTGAGCGAACGGTGAACGAGAGTAACATGGGTTACAGAGCGCTAGTAATGACAGAAGCAGAGGAGGAGAAGCCTAGCTCAGAGCTACCTACAGCAATACGGACAGTGTTAGAGGAATACCAAGACATCATGCCGGACGACCTTCCTGCAGGAGTGCCTCCAGCACGAACCCACGAACACAAGATCGTGGAAGAGCCAGGTGCGAAACCAGTCTCACATGCACCATACCGCCTCAGCGCAACCGAGCAAGCAGACATAAAAAAACAGATAGAGTACCTGCTGGACTAGAAACTGATCCGACCATCCACCTCTCCCTACAGCGCACATCTTCTTTTCACTCTTAAGCCGAATGATAGTTTACGGATGTGCATCGACTATCGGGTATTGTACAAATGGACAATCAAAACAAATACCTATACCGCGCATAGACGATCTTCTAGACCAACTATGTGGTGCAACCGTGTTTTCGAAGCTGGACCTTCGGTCGGGTTAGTGGCAGATCAAGATGGAAGACAACTCGATCCACAAGAAGGCATTCCGTACCAGATACTATCAACGGGAGTTGTGTGTTGGCCCCGTCCTCGCTTGGGCGGAGCCGACTTTGTGGTCGGGTTTGCGGGAGGTGCAGCCGACTTGCTGGAGTGGGCGACGCCGACTTGGGCGAGCTGGTCGATGGAGTAGGACGACCTGCACAGGGCCGCTGCAAAGCCGCCGACTTTGGGACGCCGGCGCCCGACTTCAACACTAGGAGGTCGACCTGGCGAGGTCGACCAGGGAGGGCGTCGACTTGGTGACGCCGACCTGGTGAAGCCGACTTGGTGTGGTCGGCTGACAGCTGGGCTGATCAACCTCGAGCTGGTTGACCAGGGGTGTGGTCGACTTGGTGTGGTCGACCAGAGATGGTCGACGACCTGGGTGGTTGACGGGCATGAGGAGAAGTGCCTGGTCAACGTGGTTGCCCGATCGACCAGGTTACCCGGGCGACGGGGTTCAGTGGACGAGCGCGACAGTCGCCCAGGTGGTTTTGGCGAAGCCAACCACGGTGGTAGTATCCCGAGGTCGACGTGGCTGATTAGGTGAAGTCAACAGCACGTGGACCATTTGGTGTCTGCCCTGTGCAGATGACAAGGCACTGCACGCCAATACACTACGAGCACCTGCAAAGCGGGTGCGCTGCTGTCCTGCGGGTGCAACGCTGTGCAGCCGCCTTGCTGCAGCGTTGGCATGCCGTCGACTTGCAGCGTTGGCAGGCCACGTCTTTGCACAGCTGGAGCGCGGTCGACCATGCAGCGATGGAACGCAGTCGACTGTGCTGCGCTGGCAGTCGACCTGCATGCTTGCTAGCATCTGATGTAGTCTTGCTTCCCAACTTTCTTGTCACCATTGTTGTTAATCTTTGCAAATGAAACTCTTCCCAATTCTCCCCATGGATGAGCAAGTAGTGTGAACACAAGAAAACAACTTGGGAATGCAGAGATCACCCTCAAAACCGTGCCTACCCCGTAGACTAGCTCCCGTTGGTTAAGTTATCTCTGCATGGTGCGGTGAGCATGGACGGCACCGCGACTTACCTTCAGTCTAGTCGACTTAGTTGCACATTACCTATTTCGTTCGTAGGCTAGGAGCTGTGCTAGTCACCATGGTTGGTCCCGTAGCTGATGCCTGCGTAGTGGACACCTTGGAGACACGGCTAGAAAATGCGAAGAGACGCCATGAGGATGGCGAGTTCGGGCCGAGCCTCCCCCTGGAGGTCGTCGAGCTGGGTATCCGCACAATGTGGGCGACGGAGCATCCTTCCCAACCTGGTTCTCCTCGACCGGCACGGAACAAAGGTGGTGTCGGCGTGGGCGTCGACGGCGGTGACCAAGTCGGCAGCAGTGCGGGAGGCACGTCGAGGCAGAGAGGGGTGATACACGCCGGTGAAGTCGGCGGCGTTCAGGCGCAAGGGCTGTAGTCGTCTGCGGCTACATGTATCAAACTTATATCTGCTATAGTCTATTTAGGCTGTAGTGGGGTAGCTCTTAGAGGGTACAACACTTGTGTTTTCTACTTGTACCCATCTGAGTTTCTAGTTGATTCATTCTTTCGTCAATTATCTTACATGGTATAGAGTTAGTTTCGAGTTTTTTTTTTTAAAGGGCCCACCACTAAATTTTTCTTACCTGCTCGACGCGCGCGTCGCGCCTGCCCTTCGAGGCCCGTAGCGGCCCCTGCGCCTGCCCTTAGAGCCAGCGCCGGCCCCGTAAGGCCCCGTAGGGCCCCGTTTCCGGCCCTGTAAGGCCCTGTAAGGCCCTGTTTCCGGCCCCGTAAGGCCCCGTAAGGCCCCGTAAGGCCCCGTTTACGGCCCCGTTTAAGGCCCTGTAAGGCCCCGTAGGGCCCCGTAAGGCCCCGTTTACGGCCCCGTTTAAGGCCCCGTAAGGCCCCGTAAGGCCCCGTTTAAGGCCCCGTAAGGCCCCGTAAGGCCCCGTAAGGCCCTGTAAGGCCCCGTAAGGCCCCGTAAGGCCCCGTTTACGGCCCCGTTTAAGGCCCCGTAAGGCCCCGTAAGGCCCCGTCAGGCCCCGTTTAAGGCCCCGTAAGGCCCCATAAGGCCCCGTCAGGCCCCGTTTAAGGCCCCGTTAGGCCCTGTAAGGCCCCGTCAGGCCCCGTCAGGCCTCGTTTGCGGCCCCGTCAGGCCCCATAAGGCCCCGTCAGGCCCCGTTAGAGGCCCCGTACGGCCCCGTCAGGCCCCGTTAGCGGCCCCGTCAGGCCCCGTCAGGCCCCGTAAGGCCCCGTTCGGCCCTGCCCCGGCCCTACCCCAACCTGTCGCGGCCCTGCGCCGGCCCTGCTGCGGCCCTGTCGCAGCTCTGCCCCGGCCCTGCTCCGGCACTGTTGCAGCCCTGCCCCGGCCCTCGCCCCGACCCTGTCTCGGCCCTGCCCCGGACCTGTCGCGGCCTCGCCCCGGCCCTGTCCCCGGCCCTGCCCAGGCCCTGCCCCGGCCCTGCCCCCGCCCAGCCCCCTGCCCCGGCCCTGCTCCGACCCTGCCCCGGCCCTGCCCCGGCCCTGCCCCGGCCCTGCCCCGGCCCTGCCCCGGCCCTGCCCCCTGCCCCGGCCCTGCTCCGACCCTGCCCCGGCCCTGCCCCGGCCCTGCCCCGGCTCTGCCCCGGCCCTGCCCCTGCCCTGCTCCTGCACTGTCGCGGCCCTGCCCAACCCGGCCCCGGATCTTTTGCGGCCCGGCCCCGGCCCTACCCCGGCCCTGCTCCGTCCTCGCCACTGGTAAGAGCGCCACGCTGCCGAGCCGCGCCTCCCTGCCGAGCCGCGCCGCCCTGCCTAGCCTGCCCTGCCGAGTTGCACTGCTGCTGCTCCTGTCATGGCTAGTCTCAATGTTCTTACCTTTGATGCTGAGGGTCGAGCTGTTGACTTTGAGGTCTGGCTAGATGATCTGCAGCTTTTCCTACAGTGCGATAGCAAGGATGGCCTCTCACTGTTCGATCTCACGTCTGGCGCCTCTACTGCCCCTGCTGCTGATGCTGACAGTACTGTTCGCTCGCAGTGGCTCACACGCGATGCTGCTGCTCGTCTTGCTGTGCGTAATCACCTGCCGTCTACTGAGCGCGCGCACTTTAGTCAGTACAAGAGTGCTAGGGCTCTGTACGACGCTGTAGTTGCACGCTACTCCTCCCCTACCACTGCTGCCCTCAGCCGCCTCATGCTGCCGTACCTTTTTCCTGACCTTGCCGCCTTTGCCACAGTTGCTGACCTAGTTGCTCACCTCCGCACTAGTGACGCTCGCTACCGCGCTGCCCTTCCCACTGAGTTTCTTCCAACGAACTCCCCCCCCATGTACATCACCCTTTACTACCCAGTCACCCGCCTCCCTGACTCTCTCTCCTCAGTCAGGGATCACTTCCTCTCCCTTTGCCCCACCGAGCTGACTGTCGACTTGCTAGAGGAGCGCCTTGCTGCAGCTGAGAAGAGTATCTTAGCTGTCGGTGCTTCTCGCGGCGACCGTCGCACCCCCTTCTTTGAGGGGTGTTCCCCTGTCCCCCTTCTCCCCTCTGTTGCCTCTGCTGCTGCTGTCGACCTCGTTGGCACTGAGGAGGTCGGCGCTGCGTCTACTGCCCCTAGTGGGCGACGCCGCACTGGCAAGGGCAAGGGAAGCAGGGGTGGTGGAGGGGGCGGTGGAGACAGCGGTGGAGGAGGTGGAGGTGGTGGTGGGGGTGGTTCCGGGAGTGGGGGCGTCGGTGGCGGCAGTGGAGGCCGTGGCGGCGGTGGCGGAGGAGGTGGCGGCGGCGGCAGCGGTGGTGGAGGTAGCGGAGGAGGTGGTGCTGGTCGCGGTGTGGCCACGCAGCGTGGAGGCCTTGGTGGCAGCCAGCGTCAGCAGCAGCTGCGCACCCGTGAGACCCCGTCTGTTCAGCAGCTTCGTGAGTGGTACGCTGGGCGTGGGAGGTCTGGGGGTGCAGGTCCCTGCACGTACGTACTTCGCACCGGCACTCGTAGTGGGGAGGTGTGTGGTCTCCCACACACCACGCAGCGCTGCTTCGGCCGCTTGACTGACGCCTGGCGTACCCAGTTTCCTGACGCTGTTGAGCTTCGTCGTTGGCATGATCTGCTTCTGCAGAATGTGCCTATCTTTGATCTAGACTTTGATGCTATCCTTGCTGCCATGTATGCTCTTGCTGATATTACTGAGGGTGACTGTTACCTGCGTGTCCCGCCCGACCCGGGCACTGTTGCCGCTGCTCCAGGTGCTTGTGCGGCTGCTGCTCTAGGTGCTAGTGCGTCTGCTGCTCCAGGTGCTGGTACGTCTCCTCTCTCTGGTACTACACCTATTGCGTCCTTCACACTTTCACACTTGACTCTGGTGCTTCGCGCTCTTTCTTTAGAGACAGCACCACGCTCACGCCGCTCAGTCGGCCTGTTGCGGTCTCCCTTGCTGACCCCTCAGGGGCGGGGCCCAGTACTTGCACACTACTCCACTGTCCTACCGTGTCCTGCAGCCCCGTCGGGCTTGCTGTCGGGACTCCACCTCCCCTCGTTCTCTAAGAACCTGGTGAGTGGAGCTGACCTCCAGGACGCGTGGGTTGACCAGTTCACCCCTGGAGGTCAGCGTGTGACCCACTGCACTTGCTCTCGGACGGGCCGCCACCTGGCCACGTTCACCCGTCGGCCAGGGTCGAGTCTGTACACACTGATTACTGCGCCTCCTCCGGTCTCTGCGTCTGGTCAGGTAGCTGCGTCCAGTCAGGTGTTTGCTGCCGCGTCCAGGTCTAGTCCTGCGTCTGCCCCCTGCTCGTGTCGTCCTCTGGCACACGAGACTCTCCTCTGGCACCACCGCCTTGGTCACCCCTCCCTGCCTCGTCTTCGAGGTATGGCCTCCCATGCCCTTGTCTCGGGTCTACCCAGGTCCCTCCCTCCCCTTCCTCCGGGGCCTGCCCCCACCTGTGTTCCGTGTGTCGAGGGCCAACAGCGTGCCGCCCCTCACTCCTCCTCGTTTCCTCCGACTGAGTCTCCTCTGCAGACTCTTCACATGGACGTGTGGGGCCCAGCCCGCGTCCGTGGACAGGGTCACGATCGCTACTTCTTCCTGGTCGTTGACGACTACTCGCGTTACACCACAGTCTTCCCCTTGCGCAGCAAGGGTGAGGTTCCTGAGGTGTTGATCGACTGGATCCGCGGTGCTCGTCGCCAGCTCAGTGAGAGTTTCGGCTCCGACCTTCCTGTTCTGCGTCTGCACTCAGACCGAGGTGGGGAGTTTTCCTCCGACCTCGTGAGAGCCTTCTGTCGTTCGGAGGGCATCCGCCAGACGTTCACGCTTCCGGCCTCCCCGCATCAAAATGGGATTGCTGAGCGCCGCATTGGCATGGTCATGGATGTCGCTCGTACGTCCATGATCCATGCGGCTCTCCCCATTTTCTGTGGCCGTTCGCGGTCCAGTACGCTGCGCATCAGATCAACCTTCAGCCTCGTGTCTCCTTGCCGGAGACCACACCTACTGTGCGGTGGACGGGGAAGGTTGGCGATGCGTCCGCGTTCCGTGTCTGGGGATCTCGAGCTTTTGTCCGCGATACTATAGCGGACAAGCTGTCCTCCCGTGCCGTTCCCTGTGTCTTCCTTGGCTTCCCTCCTGACGCACCCGGGTGGCAGTTCTACCACCCCACCTCCCGTCGTGTTCTGTCCTCTCAGGACGTCACGTTCGACGAGTCGGTGTCGTACTGCCGTCTCTTTCCCTACCGCACTGCCTCTCCCCCCCCCCCGCCACTCTTCCTGGCACCAGGTACTCCCCTGGTAGACCCCCTCCCCCCCCAGGGTCCTGCCCCCTTAGGTGTGTCCCAGGTAGACCCTGCCGAGCCGGTCGAGGTAGCTATCGACTCAGATGCTGCTAGGGGTGCTGAGTCTGGGGGTGCTGAGACTGGGGGTGCTGAGTCTGGGGGTGCTGAGACTGGGGGTGCTGAGTCTGGGGGTGCTGAGACTGGGCGTGGTGAGCCTGGGGGTGTGGAGCCTGAGGGTACTGTGTCTGGAGGTACTGAGCCTGCGCGTGCTGCGTCTGGAGGTGCTCTAGGTGTCCCGTCGCGGCGGGAGCCCCTCTCTCCACAGCGGCTTCGTGAGTGGTACTCTCGGCGCTGTCGGGTTGCTGCTGGAGGTGCTGCTGGTGTAGGAGCTGCTGGAGGTGCTGGCGCTGCTGGAGGTGGTGCTGGTGCTGGAGCTGCTGGAGGTGCTGCTGGTGCTGGAGCTGCTGGAGGTGCTGCTGGTACTGGAGCTGCTGGAGGTGCTGCTGGTGCTGGAGCTGCTGGAGCTGCTGGAGGTGCTGGTGCTGCTGGAGGTGGTGCTGGTGCTGGAGCTGCTGGAGGTACTGGTGCTGCTGGAGGTGCTGCTGGAGCTACTGGAGGTGCTGGCGCTGCTGGAGGTGGTGCTGGTGCTGGAGCTGCTGGAGGTGCTGATGGGACTGGAGACCCTGGGGCTGAGGGTACCGGTTCTGTCTCTGCTGTTTCTGGAGGCGCTGCGTGGCCGCGGCCGTTCTACGTTCCGCTCCTTCAGCAGGTTCTTGGCTCCCCGCCTTCTCCTGGTCCTCCTCCTCCTTTCCTGAGTCCACCACCTGTCCAGTCATAGTCGCGGTTCCAGCCAGCCTCTCCGCTGCCTGGTCCTTCTCCTTACTCTGGTCCGACTAGAGGTCTTACGGAGTGTCGTGAGCCTGAGTCTCGTCCTGTTTCGCCTTCGTCTCGTTCTGCGTCGCCTGTCCGTACTGTTCGCGCTGGTCGTGTTTCGCGTCCGCGTCTTCCTCCTGTCCCAGGCACTCACTCTATGACACTGCGTCCTTCTACTGCTCCAGAGCGTGTCCCTCTGCCCTCTCCTCCTGCGTCCTCTCTTCCTGACGGTCCGGACCCCGGAGTCTGACTCCCTTCGTGCTGCTAGTCCTACTGTCACACGCTTTCTGGCCACTGCTGTCACTGACCCTCTGTTTGAGTCCTCTGCTGCGTCTGCTCTTGTTGCTGAGCTTGTTGACTTTGCTGCAGCCTGTCGCCTAGACTACGCCACTAGTCTTGTTGCTGAGTCTGCGTCTGTGTCTGTCTGTCCTCCGTCCGTCGGGGGTGAGTGTGCTCTTGGCACGGACGTCCTTGAGGACAGACAGGAGGACCTTGAGTGTTTTGGTGCTGCTTCACCTCATCTCGTGTCCATGCTGCTTGCCCCTGAGGGAGACCCGGATGCACTAGAGATCCCGACCCCGCGCTCTTACGCAGAGGCGATAGAGGGTCCCTACTCCTCCCAGTGGCAGGCAGCCATGGACGCAGAGATGGCTTCCTGGAAGTTCACAGGCACCTACGTAGACGAGGTTCCCCCGCCTGGGGCGAACATCGTCAGTGGCATGTGGATCTTCAGGGTGAAGCGGCCGCCGGGTTCTCCGCCTGCCTTCAAGGCGCGTTACGTTGCACGTGGCTTCACTCAGCGACAAGGAGTTGACTTCTTTCAGACCTTCTCCCCTACCCCGAAGATGACCACTCTTCGGGTACTACTGCACGTTGCTGCTCATCGTGACTACGAGCTCCACTCGCTTGACTTCAGCACAGCCTTCCTACAGGGCAGCCTGCACGAGGAGATCTGGCTGCGCCGCCCACCTGGCTTCACTGGGTTGTTTCCTGCTGGTACCCAGTGGAGCCTCCGGCGGCCAGTCTACGGTCTCCGCCAGGCGCCCCGTGAGTGGCACGACACGCTCAGGACGACTCTTGCTGCTCTTGGTTTTGCTCCTTCCACTGCTGACCCTTCTCTGTTTCTACGCACTGACGCTACTCTGCCGCCGTTCTACGTTCTTGTGTACGTAGACGACCTTGTCTTTGCTACTGCTAACACGGAGGCACTCGCCCACGTGAAGTCCGAGCTGCAGAAGAGACACACGTGCACAGACCTGGGTGAGCTCACAAGCTATCTTGGCTTGCGGATCACCCGGGACAGAGCACAGTGCACCATTACCTTGACTCAGTCACACATGGTGCAGCAGGTCCTTCAGCGCTTCGGCTTCACCTACTCCTCGCCACAGTCCACTCCTCTGCCTACCGGTCACTCGCTCTCAGCTCCACCTTCGGACGAGTCCGTAGAGCCGAGTGGCCCGTATCCAGAGCTTGTGGGCTGCCTCATGTACCTGATGACTTGCACACGACCTGACCTCGCATACCCTCTCAGCCTTCTGGCTCGCTACGTGGCTCCCGGTAGGCACCGAAAGATGCACTGGGATGCTGCGAAGAGGGTGTTGCGATACTTGTGCAGTACATCGGGCATGGGGCTCGTGCTTGGAGGACGGGCTCGAGTTGTCCTCACTGGTCACGCTGACGCCTCCTGGGTTGCAACATGGCTACGCAGCGGTCGTCACAGGGTTACACCTTCAGTCTTGGCTCCGGCTCTGTTTCTTGGCGGTCTACCCGCTCTTCTTCTGTTCTCAGCTCCAGTTGTGAGGCTGAGATCTACGCTGGAGCCATGGCTGCACAGGAGCTTCGCTGGCTCACCTACCTGCTGACCGACTTGGGAGAGGCACCTCGGTCTCCTCCAGTTCTGTACGTCGACAACAAGGCCATGCTGGCCTTGTGTCAGGAGCACAGACTGGAGCACAGAACGAAGCACATTGCTCTGCGCTACTTCCTTGCTCGAGAGTTGCAGCAGCGTGGCCAGCTTCGTCTTGCTTACGTGGCCTCTCAGGCCAACACTGCTGATGTTTTCACCAAGGCACTTCAGCCTTGTGATCATCAGCGTTTCTGTACTGTGTTAGGCCTTGTACCTACTGTGCCTCACTTGTTGACTTCTTGACTCTGCTTGTACTGTACTCTATATACTTATACCTGCATGCTTACACTTGCTAGGTTGTGTTCACTGTATTTTTTGCTTTCCTTTATATAACTCTGCATGTGAACTGGCCTTATGGCCCTTTGCTTGTGCTCAGACTGTGTGGTGACTTTGTGATCCACCCTGAGCTTGCTTTGCCTTTCTTGACTGGTCTTGTGACCTCTTGTTCTCCCCCACTTTGCCTATGGGGGTGTGTCAAACTTATATCTGCTATAGTCTATTTAGGCTGTAGTGGGGTAGCTCTTAGAGGGTACAACACTTGTGTTTTCTACTTGTACCCATCTCAGTTTCTAGTTGATTCATTCTTTCGTCAATTATCTCACAGCAGGCTCCTCGCAAGGTGATGTCGGAGGACGTCGGAGCAGTATGACACCCCGGCGTCGGCAAACCACGTGACGGCGGTCGGGATAGCGCAGACGTACGGGTAATTCAAGTTCATGCCGGACAAGATAGTCGTCCCTGTTGTTATGTGATGCTATTATTTGCATTCACGTCTGCCTGCCTCCCATTATATGTTCGTGCGTTGCATGCGTGATGTGTACAAGAATTTGTATTTGGTGTGGTTTGGATTTTCTGAGTGTGTGTGAATGTTATTTGGCTTGAAAAGATATCCGAAGTGACTCCTCTGCTCGAGAGATTTCCAAAGAACCAAGAATCGTCGCGATCGGAGCAAGAACGAGAAATATATGATTGTTCGAAATTTTGATTGAGATGCGGCGACTACGGGAATTTGCGGGAAGCCAAACCAGGTTGGCAAGTGTGGCCAAGTTGGGTGAAGTGGATGGCATGAATTGGGAAAGTGAAAAATGTCAAAGTTGGGGTGCCTATAGAGAGGGGAATTGTGGTTGAGGCGTTTGTTGGAGGAGATCTGGTTTGGACGGAAGGACGCGACAGTTATCTTATGTGACAACGAGTCATCTGTGAAGTTGGCCAAGAATGCGTGTATGCATGGGCTGACAAAGCACATCAGGCCTAAGTGGCATTGGGTGAGGAGGCTCTTGGACAAGGAGGTGCGGCTGGAGATTGTGAAGACTCAGCAGCAGGCAGCTGATATCTTCACCAAGTGCCCGGCTGAACCTGAGCACTGGAAGGGCATGAAGCTTGCTCGAATGAGTGTGCATTGAGGGTGCATGCTTGAGCTATGGCATGTGGGATGATGGTTGGCAGCCAGAGGGGGAGTTTGTTATGTGATGCTATCATTCGAATCCACGTCTGTCTCTCTGTCTGTTTACCTTTCTACCTGGCATGCGTGGTGTGCGCGTGCGTAAGAATTTATGTTTGGCATGGTTTGGATTTCCTGAGTGTGTATGAATGCTATTCTGCTTGAGCAGATATCTGAAGTGACTCCTCTGCTCAAGAGCTTTCCGACGAACCAAGGATCGCTTCAATCGGAGCACAAACGAGAAAGTTACGAACGGTTGAAGTTCGTATGCTTCATATATTTGGTTGCAGCGACTTTGGGAATTTGTGGAGTGACTCTATATGATCTATATACTTTGGGGTTTGGGGAAATTCTTCACTCTACTATAGATGATGCCAATTGGCCGGGAGAAACCAAATTGGGTGGGCAAGTGTGGCCAAATTGAGGTGAGGTGGATTGGGAAGGTTGGGAAAAGGACAAGGGTCAAAGTTGGGTTCCTATAGGGAGGGGAAATTGTGTGACCATGGGGTTTCCTTGGTTGAGGACTCCCTTGGGACCTCCCCTCTCGTCCTCCTCATCCCCTCCTACCTGGTTTCTAGCTAGTCTAATTCTCTTGTGTGGATCTTGTGTGAAAAATTGTGATTGAGTTAATTTTCAGCTCCAGAATACCCCCCAGTGCGCTGAAAATTCATATCTCAAGATTAACTTCACCTCGTGATACAATTCAACTTGGGAATTGTAGCTACGGTCTAGAGCTACAGCATATCCGAAATTGGTGAAGTTTTTACAGTGAACGTTTCATCGACGGCGTTTCTTGTGTAGTCGACAATTCTGTCCAGAAATTAAGTCCAACGATTTGAAGTTATTTCGGTCCATAATCTTCCTAGACCCCGTCCTTAATCTCTAACACAACCAATCTCGGCGTCTTCTTGCCTGCATGCGGATGGCCAGCGTCGAGTCCTCGACGTCGTCGTACATCACACACGTCATCAAGGGGCTCCCGAGCGCCTACAACCTGATGAAGCATCCGTCGGTGGTTCTGGGCACGCGGGAGTCGCTCAACGAGGACTCGCTGACCTCGTTCATCCTCAGGGACAAGGCGATGCAGGAGGCCGAGAAGTCCACGGAGCTCCTGCCGCAGGTGAACTACGTCGCCCCGATAAATCAAGGCGGTCAACCGGGGCAGCGGGGCAAGCCAGGCGGCCAGTGGTAGCGGAGGTGGAAAGCCGGCCAAGGACGCCGACAAGCAGAAGTCGGCCAAGGATGGCAGCAGAGGAGGAGGAGGTCGACGTCGGGAATGCTGGCTGTGCGGCGACCCCGACCACCTATCCTTTGAGTGCCCCAACCGTGACGACTCCGATGACGATGACACCAAGGGAGGCCGAGGGAGGTAGGGCGGTCGTGGCCCTCGTCGGGAAAGCAAGCGGCACAAGGAGAAGCAGTCGACCAAGTCGACCTCGGCGAAGGACGCCGACTCCTCCTCTGGCGGCAAAGGACGAGGCGATGGGGAGGCGTCATGCTCATTGGTCAGCATCGTGGAGCAGACCGTCTCCCTGGCGCCGGAGGCCGGCGATGACTTCCAGGCGGTGGCGGCAACCGTGCAGGCGAACCCGGCGGTGGTCCTGCTCGACAGCGGCTGTTCGCACCATCTAATGGGGACGAAGACAGCCTTCGTCGACTTGGGGCCGAGCAGCAACGTCAAGCACATGCGCGGTTTCAGTGGAGCGTTGCAGGACATCCAAGGCCGAGGCTCTGTCGCCCTGCAAGGCAAAGCCGGGAAGCAGGTGCTCATCCCAGACGTGCTCTACGTCTCGGGCGTTCAGGCGAACCTGCTATCACCCGGCCAGCTGAAGAAGAGCGGCGTGAAGTTGCAGGACCATAGTGACGGACGTGCTTGGTCGGGAGAAGTATACCGGCCGGGTCCTTTGCACCAACCTGCGCCCAGGCACGGCAACGTCGACGACGATCAGGACGGAGACGGTGGCTCTGGGGACCATCGCTATGGCGACGAATTCGACGCCGTCCAGGTGGCATGTGAGGCTTGCACACGTGGGCGTGGACACCATCAAGAGCTCGGCAAAGCACGAGGTCGCGACTGGCCTGGACATCAAGCTGTCGGCCGTCGCCGACTTTCCGTGTGTCTCCAGTGTCGGTGGGAAGCTGGCGAGGCACACCTTCCCTGATAAGGGCTCCGACGCCCTGGCAGTCGTACACATCGACCTGTGCGGGCTGTTTCGGGTGGCCGGGATGGATGGCAACTTGTACTTCTTGCTGCTGGAGGACCGCAAGACACGCTACGTGTGGGTGAGGCCGGTCGCCAAGAAGTCCGATGTGCTGCGGGAGTTCAAGAAGTGGCTGGTGGTGGTTGAGCGGCAGACGAAAAAGTCGGTGCTAATGCTGCGCTCTGACTGG